CGGTTCACCTTGGTTTAAAGTGAAACCCATAGCACAACCACTACGCGCAATCCTCGAGGGCCATGGAAGACGGTATCCGTGCCATGCCCAGCGGACTCTGTCCCATGCACTGGCCCATACACGAGGAGCCAGAGATCGACGTGAAGCGCGGTTTGGATTCCTCGTACACTCAGTGGACTCAGGTCTGGGGCAATGCTCACATCTGGTTCTGAACACATCACAAAAGGCTTGGGTGCTGCAGCTTGGAAACGGTCATTACGGGTCGTATGGAAATATGCTGGACTTGAAATCTTACGGTGCATATGTCGAAGGGAGGTTGAAAGGATGCTTGGCTGGGCATGGCATAGACCCGATGCTTCTTTCACCTGGAAATCGATACGCCGGCGCCGCCGGCGCACGGCCGCGCTGTAACGAATTGATACTTCCAGAGGCGCGGCGGTAGGGTTAGCTTCCGTTGCATGTCTGATGTCTTTGAGCCCTCCCACAAGAGTGGCACTGCCGTGACTTCGGTTGGAGAATTCCGCTTTGAGTACCGACCTGAAAAATATATTCATCTTGCTGTCTTCAAGGAAAGCCACATCCAGCCAGCAATGCATTCAAGGTAGGTGTGCATGTTGGTTGGAAATCGGCCCTTTGTTGGACATTATCCATTTTATGTGGGGCATGGGAGAATTAGGGTTCTGTCCCTGTTCTTGGTCCAACATTTGTGAGACAGGACATTCTGACCACGAAGCCTTGCACTCCAATGCACCGCAATCGTTGGTCCCCCTCCCGCCACGCCGCCCGCTTGTTCGGCTGGGACCCATGCCAAATCAGCCGGTGCTTTCTTTTTGGGGGGGGGCGGTGGCGCGGGAGTTCTACCAGACCTCAAATCAACTCAAGTTTCGCCCCCATTTTCGAGCTGTCACTTGCCCCAGAAATGAACATCTTGCCGCGGCCCGCCGATCTTCAGCTTCTGCGCGGCATCTTCTAAAGAGCTCATTGTTTGCTTCAACTTGCCTGCCGAGTGAACTCGTCTGCGCAGCATTTGAGACTCGTTCTGCTACATCTTCACATCTGTGCCAAACCAGTGCACATGGCAAACTGGCAACTCGCATCAGCACACATGCATCACATGTCGCCCAAGCGCGGAAGTCATGGGCCCAGTTGCAGCCACGGCGCTCAACATTCCACCGGTGGGATAACTTTCCTGACGCAAGGGCAGGACATCAACACCGATGTAATTTTTAGTCCATCAAAGGACGGCCCCCTTGAGATTCACATCCACATTTGCAACGATAAGCTTGTAACCCAACCGCCTTCGACGCCAAATTGCACTTTCAAGGCACAGTTTGCAAGTTCGCACACATGCTAACCGCAACTTGCGTATCCTACGAGCACCAACATCTCAGCTTTGGAATGGGTGTGCCTGTTTTGGGGGGAACCCTGTGGGGTTTGTTTCGAACACCAAAAGCTATTCTAGGGATTTCCCCTTTGATGCAAACTCATACAAGGCTCAGCATCGGATTAAGCAACCCCAGTATATTCATATCACTTTTGAAGGCGACCCCCGCCCGCTATTGATAGGATGGGTACATTGATCCCGGGTTAACATTACACATTTCAAGTCGCCGGGAGTGTGGCTCTTTCAACTCGCGGCATCGAAGTATCGAAGTGGAAAGCTGAAAGCCCGGTGCGTGTGGCTTACTTCAAGATGCGCTCTTCCTTTCCAAGGCACGTGCAAGTGGTTGCTGGTGCCCGGCAGCTGAATGACCAAAGCACGGTCTGGCTCCTTTGAGTCAAATTGATTTTGCGTTCGCTCAGACTCTGAATAACACCTCTCTCGGCTCCATCTGGTTGAACCACCTAAATATTGTGACGGGGGTCTTGACATGGCTCGCCGCACCGCAATTCTCCGTCCCCAGCCCTCACGCTTCATAGCTGTCCCTAAAACAACATCTGCATTGCTCTCGTTTGCTCTCGTTTGGCTCCTCTGGCGGGCCCTCGTCAAGAATTGGTGCCTTGGCCGCCCAGCTCAAGCCAAGCGCTCATCGAGTGCACAATGATCAATCCAGATTCCAATCTTGAAACTGCTCGCTCAAGAAAACAGTCGTCGCGCTGGAACTGTTGTTACACTAAGAATCTGAGAAAATCGGAAAGTTCCGCAAGCGATCCGTGGCGTGCTCATGAGCAAGCAAACAAAGCACACCACCCACCAGGTGGTCAAATAGGGAGATCAAGCATGAACAGGGTCATCAATGAGCCACGCAAGCAAACTAGGCAAAACATGACACTTGCCAATGGCGTGCCAACTTAGCTTGTCCATAAACATCAACTATGAATCAAATGCAAGCCGTATGTTCACAAAACAAACCGGAACCACCAAAAAAAGCAAGCGCGCAAAAAGCCGATCGCACAGATTAGTCAACAAACCAATCAGCTAAACATGTCTTTAGCGTCAGTGAAACAAGCGATGTGTCAGTCACAAGGTGGACAGGTCCTGGAACCTTGGACCCCTTTGGTTGAACAGGGGCTGCCCAGCTGTGGCGTTTGAAGCAAACGCCAAACATCGCCTCGCATGAACATCTCCATACATGTATGCTTTCCAATGCTTGGTATGGGCTTGCAAACAACCTTCTTTCTGGCCCCTACTAAACACGACCAGAACCAGACAAACCTAAACCTCAAAACATGCCAACAACAGCGAAGGATATAGTATGAATGTATATCTACTCACAGCATATGCCATCTACATCGTAGCGGTCCACATATGCCGTCTCTTGCGGTTTGGCTTGACATCCGAACTGAAACCTTAAATTGCCAGTCATCCAAGCGGGGAACTTGTGACAGCTGCGACTGAAGCTGAAGCACAGTGAATTTTGCAGGCACAGTCAAGGTAACGAATGCGATCAAGGTGCCTCCTCCGCGATTAGCTCCTCAGGCGCTGCCTCTTCGGGCGCTGCCTCATAGCTGCCTGCCTCCTCGGGCGCTGCCTCGGGCGCTGCCTCGGGCGCTGCCTCCTCGGGCGCATCCTCGGGAGCTGCCTCTGCATCAGCTGCCATCCCAGCATCTTCCTCGGGCTATGTCGTTCTTTCGCTTTTGCACGTTGCGACCAGGACAGGGGAATACCAGTACTCTGTTTGAGGAAAGTGACCAGGGCCCTTGCGATGTTTGAGCTCATCTGAAGTACTCGCAGCCACTGGCTGTTTTAAACACCTGAATGGGTCTCGTGTCACTTGCGAAAGACATCACTTAGCATGCAAACAGATTACAGCGTTCGCGTCACGGTTCGCGTCGCAAATGATGCGCCACAAAGCAAAGGCAACAGGCAAAAGCAAAGGGCGAAGCAACTAGGCCGCCAAGAAAGACGCAAGCAAAGCGAAGAAAAGCTGGTGCGCCCACCCTCCAACTGAGCATGTTAGAACCACTTTACCAGGCATGTACAAAAGGTATACAGTCGGACTCACCACACTCCATTTCCCAAATCGATTGTAAATGCGCATGTTCTCTTGGTACAAACCTGGCTTGCCGACCACTACGGCTCTCAACAGGCAGCATTTGCGCATGCCTAGAACATTGCCTACCAACAAGTAGGTGTCGCTGTAGAAGCAGCAGCAGGTGCTGCAGCAACAGCAACTGTGGGTAGTTGTGCGAGCAGTAGCTGTTCTGAAAATGCTACAACCTCCCCTGACACGGCAAGCAAGCCTGAAGGGAGAACGTGACAGTCAAGTTGATACTAGGCCACGGTCTTGCATATCACGAATATGTGACGGATCACGAATATCTGCTGTGCGCAACTGCTTCCTCGGGCCTCGCCTCGTTCAAGGCATCTTCCTCGCCTGGCAACACTCAACGAACACAGCTACACAATTGAGAGCTTTGAGCATTCTCAACAATGGAGGCTCTAAGACCTGCGGATTTGAACAAAGAGGCTTTCCATCCCTGAATTCTTGACACCTCCAACACAGGTTCAGCAAATTGAATAGGCCAAATAGACCACCCTTTAGAAAATGCATAGAGCCTTGACCGCTTTGGCTTCGCCGCAACATCTTGACAAACCTGCGACTTGTCGCGTTGCCTTCGCGCCACTCTTCCGGGTCGTAGCCAGCATCCTCTTTGCCAGCGTCGGTGTACTCGTAGTCACCATGGCCGCCATGGCCGCCATAGCCGCCATAGTAGTCATCGTAGCCACCACCCGCTGGTGGCCCGTGGCTGCCCTGGTGCTGACCAGTACCTCAGCGAAAGGTGGCTGAAACCACTTCCGGCGTGGGATGTCCCAAAAGAATTCCGGCGTCTGGCGGCCATTTTATGTTGCTTGCCGTTTTCGAAAGGGAAGCCAAAAGAAAACCGGCCATTGTGGAGTCCCTGTGTTGGCGACCAAAGGAACCTGCGTGTACTCTCCAGATTCTGTGCAGCCTGGGTGCTATGTGGTCCGGAGATAAAGTCCGCAAAGCTGGACCTGCACATCACAGCACAAACCCATGTGCGCTTGCAATATGACCCCAAAAGGTGAGCGAAGTCTGTGGGAGGCAGCAGCAGAACCAACTGGAAGCAGAAGGAGAAAGGATTCTGGAAAGCGGCAACCTCACCCTTAGCAACCAGATTCAAACTGAAGACTCCTGTAAGGTGTTAGGGAGAATGCCTGGGTAAAGCATGAGTTTGTATGCTCGCCCAGTTGACAGGGTACGACAATCTCGCCTTATCGATGTGTCGTGCAGAAACGCCAACTGCCAAACGTATGATAGCCCATTTTTCAGCGCACGCAATCACAGCTCTTGCGACTTTGCACTCTCGCTTGTGGCCAGCCGCGCGAGTGTTCTCAAAACCAATGCCTAGGCTGCTTCCAAGGTCACACATGCACGAATACGGTTCCGGCAGGAAAGCGATCCCAACAAGCTTACAACCAACAAGCTAGACAGTTCAAAAGCAGGTTCAAGGCATGGGTGCCCAGAAGCGCCGAACGGACTCGACGTTCACCCGCTCCCCAGGTGCATGCGCCCCCTGAATGTCCGGGCCAAACC